CGCCGGGTTCTCTGTTGGGGGGTAAGCCCCCCTTGGTTGACCCCCTGCCTTGCTGCGGCGGCCCCTGCCGCCTGCGCTTCAGCCCCGTCGGCCGTCTGTCCCGCCAGACGACCGTTTCAAAGGCGCGCCATAGGAAGCGTCTGGGGTACATCCGTCAGGCGTGAGAAGCTGTACCCCGAGACGTGTGGTGATGTGAGCGTTCAGGGTTTTTGAAGGGGCCCTGGGACACACAAATAAATACACACAAATAAAACTATTCCCCATAGTTTCCCATATTTTCTGGGTTTTTGTCTTCCCCCCCACATCCCATATTTTCCCACATTTTCTGGGAATCGACGATTAATTGTGTCTGTGTGTTTTTTCCCTCCTGAGTTTTGCGCAACTGGGGCATGACGTGTTCCAGTCCGGTGAATCTCGCTGCTGCACAGGGCGAGGCGGCTACCGCGAGCCGCCCGCACCGCCCGCGCCCGAGTCGGCCCGCGCCGCCCGAGCGGGAGCAGGTGCCGCGCACCTGCACCTCGTGGGGGTGATCCTTCGGGCTCGCCTCCGCGCTATCACGAGGCAACCGCTCCGTGGAGGCGAGGTCGCGCACCGCCCGGCGGCGTGCAGCGCCTAGTCCGCGGCCGGTTGCCTCGCGGAGCCTGGCGTCCGTGCCTGGGCGGCTGTGGCCGCCTGGTCGCGGTGGCGCTGGGGGAAACCCTCTTGCTTTGCCCCCTGCCTTGCCGTGGCGGTCCCTGCCGCCTGCTCTTCAGCCCCGTCGGCCGCCTGTCCCCCAAGACGACCGCGTCGGTGCCTCGCGCTCCTCCTCCTCCTCCTCCTCCTCCTCCTCCTCCTCCTCCTCCTCCTCCTCCTCCTCCTCCTCCTCCTCCTTCTATCGCTATCGCTATCGCTATCGGCTCGATGTCCAGTTGGACGCAGCCGTCCGCGCGGCCGAAGCTACGCGCGCGCGCCCGAGGCGCGTGGGGGGGGGTCACCCCCCGACACATGCTCCCGCCAGAGGGGCGGGGGCCGAAAAGGACCGAGAAAACGGGCCCAGGAGTTTCGGGGACGAGGAAGGAGGAAGAGGGGGCTCATTAAAGGCCTGAAGAGGAAGGGAAAAAAAACCCGTGACGGCCTGCGCGCAGGCGGCGGCCCGCCGGCGGCGGCTCGGTTCGGTCAGGCCTGAACCGAGTCCTCCCCCCCCTCGCCCTCGAGGGGGCGTTCAGGATGGGGCTGGCGGCCTCCGTGAGCACTGCGGCCGTCTTGCCGTGGTGGGCGCCTGTCTCGATCGTCTTGGGCCATGTTACGGCCAGATCGGGTCGTCGGATCAGCGGCTGCTGTCCGACCAAGCTGGGGCAGACTGCCCAAAATGGAGGTGACGAAGTCGTCGAGGGGATTACCGTGGTCCTGGGAGAGGCCGAAGTAGATGGCGTAGAGGCTGCTGGCGTCGTCTATGATGGTCGGTCGTCTCGTAGCAAGGTTCTCCGTAGCGTAGAGCATCATCTCAGTATTCCACATCACTGACGGACCTGCTGGGGCTGAGGATTGCGCTAGTAGTGCTGGTACTTCGGCGACGTGAGCCGCGTGGAAGGTGTGGATGGCGAGGCGGGCGTGGTGGTTCGCAATCAATCGGCGTTCGGCTGCCTCACCTCCAAGGTTTACTCTGCCCCAGGGGTCCGTGGTCGTTCTGGAAGATGCTGCCGTTCTGTCGGGCGGGTCGCCATCGACTTGGTCGATCCACGTGCTGGGTGAGAGGTTGATCATCACTCCAGCAAAGTCGCCTTGTCGTATGTGCTGGTGGAGCGAGTCGAGGGCGTCGTACTGAGATGGGTGGTCGACAGAGTAGAGGTCATCGAAGGTCAGAGTAACCCGTTCCATCACCATTCCATTGTAGCATAGTCGTTGGTCCGTAGTGTCGAGCAGATCGTTCGGGTGTCTGTCAATGTTGGTGAGGTAAAGCAGAGATCTGTTTCTGGTCGGTGTCCGAGGGTAGTAGGCTGGTGGTGGTGGTGTAATCGCTGGTACCGTCGGGAAGAATGGCGGTGGTGATGGTGAAAGGTCAAGGGAGGGTAAGGGAGTGACGTCGGATGCGTGGGCAGGGATAGGGTGGTATAGTTCGGGGCGGCCTCTGCGTTTGTTGTCGGCTATGCTGGCTGCGTAGGTCGCCTGATTGGTGGCCACGTCCTCTTCCGTGAGGGCAGGCCCTTGTAAATACCACAGGTGCCAAGACCGTCGGCAGCGGGCGACCGTAGTTAGATGCTTCACGAGCTTGGCGAAGGAGTGGAAGTTCTTGCGGCATATTCTGCACGATGTACCCGATGCCCAGTTTCGCGGATGCTCAGGTCGTCGGTGTTCACGTCCGATATGTATTGCCATGCCCTGCTTGGTCTTGGTAACGATTCCACACTCGTAGCAGATGAAGTTGCTGGCGCCGTTGTCGCGTGATGGCGTGGGGTCCGCACCAATGGGACCGTCGGGTCTGAGCACCTTGGTCAGCTTGTCGGCGTGGGCGCGGTCTTTGGATGCGCGGATGTAGTTTGTGACAGCCAGGTTGACGGAGTTGCTGAAGTGCTTCGGCGTGGCGCGTGCCCATGCAAAAACGTCGGAGTCGAGCTTGCTGGTCGTGGGCCAGCGCTGGTCGTCCAGGTATGTGCGCAGGAAGTCGAAGTCCTGGAAAAGCATGTATGTCCATGAGCCCTTTCTCCGTCGCTGGTTGTCAAGCAGTTGGAGGAGCTGCTGAGGAGCGTATCGTAGAAGCCGTGGTAAGTATCGCAGCCTTCCAGCAGACTGGTGGTGGTCGAAGTCGGGGATGCCAGTGTAGGCTACTACTTCGGTGGCCGTGAAATGATGAAGCTGCGAGTTAGCTTTGGGTATTCCAGCTGCCGTGCGATAGGGCTTCGAGTAGGCATTGGAGATGCGCTGGTGGTCAGTCTGGGTCAGTGCTGGCCAGACGTGGTGGTTGAAGGTTAATGAGGCAGTCGAGAGGGCGTGCACGTACTTGATCTTTGTTTTGCGGGGTAGGCGTCGACGTCGTAGGATTTGCCTCTCAAGAGCTCGTGCCGAAGCGTCGGTTCGTCGCATGCGATTCTGCACCTCGGGGCCCATGCTGCCGCTGGTGAGGATGGTGCCTAAGAGTCGGTGCTGGTCTGTGATCTGGACCGAGATCGACATGATGCTCAGCTGGATTGATGTAATGTTCTGCTGTGCAAGCCTACTGCGTGCGACGTTGGATCCCGTCCCGTTAAAGGAGAGGATGACCTTGGTCTTGTCTGGGTGTGGCTTGAGCCCGTAGGTGAATGCTGTACGGCATAGTCGTTCGGCTGAAGTTCTCGTAATGTCAATGATGTCGGAGTGGCGGGTGGTCGAGTTGAAGTCGGTGAGGTCATCGACGAAGGACATGTTGGTCAGCTTGCCGCCGTGATGAGGAGCCGTAGAGAAGAGCGGGTTGTCGCAGGGGCGGATGTGGTGGCCGCTCTCGCCGTCTTCTGCCCATCGGTGTCGTCGGCGATGGCCTGAAGCACTAGGGAGAAGTGCATGTTGAAAGCCGCGTCGGAGTATGGCACCCCTGGCCTGGTACTAGTGCGAGGGATCACGTATGCGTCGGTGCCCTTAGCGGTCATCCAGTTGGCCGTGTGGTGGTCGGCAACGAGGGCGCAGAGGTGAGAGTCGTCGACGTGGGCGTTGAGATGTGCTGGACAGCGAAGGCGTTGTCGTAGAGAGGGAAGAAGGCAGATGGGAATCTCGATGTTGTCGATGACGTCTTCGAGCTCGTCCTCCTGAGTCGGCAGCTGGAAAATGAACTCCCTGATTACCGAATGGAAGGCTTCTTTCAAGTCCAGGAAGAGGATGCTGCCCGTGCGAGCCTGCGTACGGCAGTCGTCTAAGAAGGTGTAGGCGGTGTGAGTGATGAAGTCAGTCGCCTTGTGAGGGACGGCGCCGCATTGTGTGTCCATAAGCAGGTCGGGTAAGATGTCGCGGAAGAGGCCTCTCAGGAACTTGCTGTTGATCTTGCCAATAGTGTTGTTCAGGAGGATGCCCCTGTAGGCTTTCTGCAGATGAAGCTGTCCTTGTCCTTTGGAGAAATGGGTGGAGAAGCCGCCCTTCGCCGAAATGGGCTCCGTCGTCATCAGCTGCATCTTCATCATGATGGGGTGCAGAAGTCGGGCCATCTGGCGCGGCGCTGCTCGTGCCATGTCGTCGGTGTTCCCGTCGGGCCCGCCGCGTCTGCCTTTCTTGGCGGCTGCCAGGGCGGATGTCAGGTTGTGGATGGTCTGGACGTTGTCGATGTGGGGGATCGGCTTAGTGTGCGCAGTCTTGTTGTTGTAGTACTTGACGACGCCTTCGATGTCGGTGTTGATGCCGTTCTCGATGTTGCCGTAGTATCGAAGGGCGTGCTCCGCGATGGCTTGTGGCGTCGTGAGTGGAGCGCCGTCATCGTCTTGGCGTATTTTGGGAGTCGGAGTTCTCTTAGGTGTACGGCCGCCGTATGTGAGTAAGGCTCTCACGCTTGCCCATTCCTGCCGAGGGGCATTCCCTGCTGCTGATAATATCACGTTGTCGGAGAAGCGCTCGAGGTGGGCGTCGCGGTCGTGGTCGAGGCGGTTTCTGAGAGCGCGGTCGGTATCTTGGATGAAGCTCATGTATGAGTCGAAAAGATCAGTAGTGAAGGTGGTTGTGCAGGAGGTGCTGTCGTGGTGTGGAGCCGTGGCATGGTCGGGGTCCGCGTGGTTGATGAAGAGGATGGTCTTGATCATCAACTTGGTGTATCCAGGGATGTCCAGGAGGTGGATGACGTCGTCAGGGGACGCTGAAGCCGACTGGTTTGCGATGAGGTGCGCGGTGTATCGGATCCGTCTGCGTGATTTCTTGGAGCCAATGCCATTCCTTTTCACTATGCGGATCGTCTTGAGGAGGGTGCGTCGGAATCGAAGAAGCGCGTAGGAGGCCTCGGTAATGTAGGGCTTGCGGGGGGCATGATGCTGCTTCTTGAAGCTGGCGTAGGCTGCGTCCTTTATCTGATCGACGATGCTCTTAGTATGGTCGTTGAGGTTGGTCTCCCAGGGAGGGTGTTGGATCTGCTGCAGGCGTCGTTGAAAGTCGTTCTTGGCTGTCTCGGAGTCGAGCTTAGCGATGTCGAGCTTGGGCGTGCCGTGTTGGTAGGCGGTCTCGACGGTGTAGGCGAGGTTGGCCTTGACAGGGAAGTGGTCGTTCTTGTGTGAGTGGTCGTCTACTGTGTCGATGCCGTACATTACGGACGTGTAGGAGATGGAGTCGAAGAGCTCGTGGCCAACCACTATGTAGTCCAGTCTGTGCACGTCCTTGCCTGAGTCCCAGGTGTAGTGGTCCTGGCCACCGCTTTTGAAGGTATTCGCGGCGATGAGAGAGTTACCTTGCAGGACCTTGTGGAAGCGTTCGCCGTTGTCGTCCTCCTTTTGCTTGAAGCCTTGATCGCCGATTGCCTGGCTGCATAAGCTGCCCGTTCGAGCGTTTGCGTCGATGAAGAAGATGTTGATATTGTGGTTAGAGGTTGCGCACTCGATCATCTCCCAGAAGGTATCCTTCTCGTGTGGCGTGGCTCGTGAATGTGGTGCATGGGCGACGCAGACTGTGTGTCGAAAGCCTGGGGCTTCGATCCTTACTATGAGGTGCCGAGGGCTGTGCTCGATGACAGTGAACTGATCGGGGCGGAAGTAGAGGTCCTTGGCTCCTGCCTTTCCGTACGGCTTGCTGGTGAGTATGTGGAGCTCGCAGCCGAGGTTGTACTGGTCGTGGCCCCCTGAGATGACGTGGTAGGCGTACGCACTCGTGCTGGTGATGTCGTTGCCACTGCGAACTCCCCAGGGCGTGCGGGCTTCCTGGATGCCGATCAGGTGGAGGTCCTCCATGTACAGGTTGAGCATAGTCTTTCTGAGCTTGTGGATCTTCTCTTTGCGCCGTCGAGCGCCGAGGCCAGGTTCGCGCCCTGACTGGATGTTGTAGGTGGCGATGTTGACGTCTATCTCGGTCGAGGTCTTCGTGGTCTTGGCTGGCGTCGAAAGGTGAGCTGTCGTTGCCGTGGTATCGATGCGTTGGGCCTTGAGCATCCCAGGTGAAAAGGATGGGTAAGCGTCCTTGGTGTGGTTGTCGGCATCAAGTAGGAATTCCCAGCTGCGCTGAGGGGACGCGTTGAGTATGTCGGCCCATTCGGGTTGTGGGTGCGGGTAGTCCTCGATTCGGGCGTAGTTGGCCGCGGCGTCGGCAACTTCGTTCCACGGGTTCATCTCGTGGGCATGAACGTGACGCAGGTCGACATATTCCTTGACGTGCGAGTACATGATCACCAGTAGCTGCACAAGGTGGGCGTCGCGGTTAGTAAAAGCCTCCATCCTGGCCAGTTGGATCGCTCCCAGCGAGTCGGAGTGGACCGAAATGCTGTGGTGGATGTCCTTGTGGATGATGTAGGCGAACGCCCAGATGAGCGCTGTGATCTCGCTGGATGTCGAGGTGGTCTCGTTGTCCGTGAGGTTTTGGATCTCTACGAGGGTGGAGTCGCGGTGCTTGCCGACTATTGCGCCTTGAAAAGAGAAACCTTCTTCGTCTTCTCCGACGAGTACAACCGACCATCCGTCTTGACCATGTTGGCGTGGGTGTTTGGAGCCGTCGGTGTATAAATACAGGCGAGAATCTCGTGGAAGCTGTCGGTATGGAAATGTTCGCACCATGTAGTCTGATACCTCGTTGTGGCAACGGTCGGTGAAGTCGAAGGTAAGCCTGGGAGCCTGAAGTCGTCGAAGGTGCTGGAGTAAGGGCTCCTGTTCGTCGAAGTCGATGTGGTAGAGGATATTGTCGGTCTGCTGGTCGCGGGTGTGAACTTCGCGAGAGAAACGAACATGCCGTAGCGCCTCGTGGCTCTCCGCATTCGGCAGGTCGGTCTGTCCATGTGGGACCTGGGTAGCGTCAAGGGAGTCAAAAATGGGAGATTGTGGCCGGCGGGAAGTTGATGTACATGGCCGGCTCAGTGAGTCACAAAATTGTCGGTCTCGATCGCCATCTTGGCCAAAATGGCTAGTGCGTCGATGCCTTGTTGGTGGCTCTGGTCGTTCTGGCCACAGACGGCCGCACCCCCCCGTGTTGTACTCACAAAGCGATGCGTCCTCTCGAGGCGTAGGCGGTGGCGTCGTCATCGTCGGGAACGACCGTGACTGGGCTTCCGCTGGTGGAGGATGTGAGTCGACATGCTGCCGTCGAGGTTGGGTGGCGGTATCTGGTCGGTCCGCTAGCGTATGTGGCTCTAGTGTGGGATCTGTGTGAGACAGCCTTCTCGCGCTCCCCAAGCGAGAGGTAGCGGCCGAGGGGATGGTCCACGGTCCACTACTAGGCTGTAGCATGTTGGGCGGTGTGTGGATTTCCCACATGTCGCCATGCTCGTAAAGATCTGGAGGTGCGCTCTCCCCCACGCGCATGTCGCTAGTGGCTGATGATACGGTAGGTGAAACTTGTGAAGTGTCGTAGGGTTTAGGGGGCTGCCGGAGGCCAAGACAGCCCGCTGCACTTAAGGGGCCCTTAAGTGCAGCGGATCTGCTCCTCCTTCGGAGGGGCTCCCGGAGGCGCATGACGTCGTCGGCGTAACCACTGCAGGAGTCGGAAGTGCCGTCGTTGCGCTGGTAGTCTTCTGGTATGATGCTGGGCCGCTCCCCCTGGGCCAGTTGCCCCCCAGGGGGTGAGGGCCTTGTTAGTTTTTTGGTGAGTTGACCGCGGGGGCTTCCTCGTCGTAGAGGAAGGCTGGCACACGGTCTCCTGGGTCTGCGAAGCCGTCTCCGATGTCGCAAATGCGGACTTTCTTGTGCTTGGCCGTTCGGCTAGATGATCCGTTTTTGCGGAGAGCGGTGCGGGGTGGAGGAGCGGAGGTGGCGCGGTCAGGCGTGGCGAGGTGGAAGCGGGGTGGTGGTTGGATTGGCTGCATCGGTGCGGTAGGGGATATGTCGGCTAGTGGAATGCGCACTGGGGTGGAAGGTGGTGGTGCATCGTCGTCGGAAGTGATGTCAATGAGAAGAGTAGTGGATGGGTGGGTGTGCCGATTTGGGTCTGTCCTTCTGGTGCGTGTTGGTGGCGCTGAGCTGGGTCGGTCATGCTGCAGATCGGGTGGGTGGAAATCGATGGGCGTGGGCTGCTCAGGGGGGATTGGCGTATGCAAGGCGGGGGTAGGTAGTGGCGTAGGGGCAGGGAAGGGATATGCGTCGCTCGCAACAGGGGTTGGGCTGCAAAGGTCGTCGTCGTCAGCTGGGATTGGAGTGTGCACGCTGGCGTCGTCGGCGTCGTGGCATGGGCGTCGCGCAGTAGGAGTGGCGGTTGGCGTCGCAGGTGTCGGTCGTGGTGGTGGTGTGCTTCTGCGCTGTCCGCTGCTGCTAGGCTGTCCACCGCTGCTGCTGCCGCAGTTTCTGAGGTAGAGTTGGTAGCCCGAGTCCTCGGAGGTAGAGGGTGGGGTCAGCAGGTCGAGTGCCGCTTGTACCTGTTGGTCGATTTGTGCTTGTTCGGCGTCTGCTTGGGCTTGCAGTCGTGCGTCTTCCTCGTCTCGTTCTTGAAGTTGTGTGTCGAGCTCCCTGAGGATGTCCACGTCGATGCTGGTGCCGAGCTCATGGGCTTGCTGCAGTTCGCAGTGCAGTCGCTCGCGCTCCTGTCTGTGTTGCTGAAGGTGCTCCTGAAGTTGGAGTTGGTGCTGCTCCTGGAGTTCGTTCTCGAAGCGTTGCATGTCGCGGGAGGTGCCTCGAAGCTTGTCGATCTCGCTGTTGTACTCGCTCTGGGCCGTCAGAGTGCGGTACTTCTGAGCCTGGACCTGTCCGAACTCCTCCAAGAGTAGCTCCTTGGCATGCTGAAGTTGGTTCTGTTCGACCCTCGCGATGTTGCTGATTTCCTGCTGAGCCTGAGCTTTCTCGGAGAGAAGACGTTGCTGTTGTTCGTGGCATCGTTGTTGATATTGTTGGACCATGATCTCGGCGTTCTCGTGTAGCTGGTGTCGGAAAGTCTCTTCCTCCTGCTTCCTCTGGGTGATGAAAGTGGCGAGGTGCGCTGACTCTTCCTCCTTGAGCTGGTCGCGCATGTAGGCCTCCTTCTGCTGGTAGTGAGCCAGGTTCTCTGTGATGGATTCGCGAGCCTCGTATCGGAGCCGCTCCTCGCGCCGTCGGAAGACTTGGATCTCGTCGTAGTGCGACTGTCTCTGCTGGAGTTGTGCTTGCTGAAACTGTTCCTGGCAGTGTTGTAGATGTTGCGAAAGCTCCTGAATCTGCTCGGTCTGCAGTTGACGCTGTGCTTCGTGTTGCTCAGATTCGGCACGTTCATGATGGAGAAACGCCAGATGGTGTTGGTGTATCCCGTGGTTGCGCTGCTGCTCATCCACTCTCCTCGTCAGCACGTCGATGAGTTTCCGCAGGTCGCTGTCGTCGTTGGTAGTCGAAGCGGGCGTTGGCTCGGACACGGGTTGACAAACTAGTGGTCGCTGTCGTCCCTCAGGGTGTGGTGTTTTGCCCCTGACACGAGGGCGCACATCATCTTCGCCGTCCCCGTCACAGCTGTCTTCAGAAAGGTCGGCGTGTTCTCGATGTTGTTTGGCCTCGGAGATGAGTGTCTTGAAGGATGCGATCTCGCGCTTGATCTCGTCGTGCTCCTTGTTGAGGTCGTGAAGCTGGCTCTCGACGATCCGCTGTCTCTGGATCCGTGACTCCACTTGGGATCTGTATTGAGCGATGCGAGCAGTAGGCGTGTCCAATAGATGTAGCATGGTCTTGACGATGGCCAGCTCCTCGATCAGGCGGGTTGGGTCAACTTGAGCTTGCCTGGCTCCGAGGACTTGGTCGGCGAGACGTGCCATCCTCGCCACCTTGGTTGCGTGCCAGACCCGACGTATGTCTGGCTCGTCGGGAGGAAGAGAAAAGCTTTCATGTCCCTTGGCATCCGAAAGCAAAGCGGGCATGACCTTGTCAGTGACCTCCAACTGTCGTTTCGTCAGCTTCTGCAGATGTCGGTGGTCGTTGGTGGTGTCCTCGGAGGCCAGGCGGCGTCGTCTCGAGGAAGACCGCTTCATTCTCGCTGTGGTGCGATCGTCCTGATGCTGCTGCTGATGCTGGGCGTAGTTGTGTTGCTGTCGGTCCTCGTCGTGGTAGGAGGCGTGGTGGTGCTGGTTGTGCTGGGGCTGGTACCGTGGCTGCTGCTGTCCATGCCCTCCGTGGTGTCGGCGGTGAGCTGAGCCAGATGCTGGTGTGCTTGACCTCCATGGCCACGGCTTGGCACCCACTGGATGACCGTGAGACTTTGCGTTGGCTGCCATCGCGCTGCTGCTGCGGCTGCGCAGGTGCTGCTGCTGGCGCTGGGGCTGCTGCGCTGAGTGGTGGTTGTTGAGGACGTTGGCCGCCTCCACCACGCGCAGCAGGGCCCTCGCCGAGGAGCGGCGTGCCCTCTCCCGCCTGTGCCAGGCGGGCTCCAGAGGCGTCTGGCCCCACGTGGCGCGCCAGCGGGCGCGCAGCCAGGCGCAGGGTCGCGGCTGCGGCGTCGGCTATCGCCGACCCGCCGCGGCGCGCGAGCCCGGCCCCGCGGGCGGCCGATCACGATTGGCGTGAGTCGATCGGCGCGATCGAACGATCAGGCCGAACGGATGATCGTTCACGGCCCCAGCCCGCCAGAGGCCAGATGGGCTTCCTCCTCCTCCTCCTCCTCCTCCTCCTCCTCCTCCTCCTCCCTCCCTCCTCCCTCCTCCCTCCTCCTCCTCCTCCTCCTCCTCCTCCTCCTCCGGCTCCTCCTCCTCCTCCTCCTCCTCATCCCTTCCTCCTCCTCCTCCTCCTCCTCCCTCATCATCATCATCATCATCATCATCATCATCATCATCATCATCATCATCATCATCATCATCATCATCATCATCATCATCATCATCATCATCATCATCATCATCATCATCATCATCATCATCATCATCATCATCATCATCATCATCATCATCATCATCATCATCATCATCATCATCATCATCATCATCATCATCAGCCTCAGCCTCAGCCTCAGCCTACGCCTCCGACTCATCATCATCATCATCATCATCATCATCATCATCATCATCATCATCATCATCATCATCATCAGCCTCAGCCTCAGCCTCAGCCTCAGCCTCAGCCTACGCCTCCGACTCATCATCATCATCATCATCATCATCATCATCATCATCATCATCATCATCATCATCATCATCATCAGCATCAGCATCAGCATCAGCATCATCATCATCATCAACATCATCATCAGCATCATCAACATCATCATTGTCAGCAGCATAATCATCATCATCATCATCAGCATCATCATCATCAGCATCATCAGCAGCATCAGCATCAGCATCATCAGCATCATCATCAGCATCAGCATCATCATCAGCAGCAACAGCATCATTGTCCGCCTCTTCCTCTTCCTCCTCCTCCTCCTCCTCCTCCTCCTCCTCCTCCTCGTCCTCCTCCTCCACCCCTCTTCCTTGTAAACAAGCCCTACATGTCGCACCCCAATGCGTTCGAAAGGGCGGGCCAGGCGTTTCGCCTGAGACTGCGTCACCATGCATGATCCTTAAGCTTGATAGCTGCAACTGGTTGACGGATGGAGGGCGGCCCGCTTTCAAAATGCTGCTCTCGCCATAGCGCCGCGCACGTTAGTCTTAAATCATCCTGGCGAAGGATCCAGCCATGTGCAGTTGTGAATACCTTCGTTCGGGTATCGCCTTCGGGGGATCTCCAGATGGGGCCACGAAGCATGCGAAGGGTGTGCCGATATGGGGCGAGGCAGCCATGTGGGCGCTGCCACTGGGGCTGCAGGTGCAACCCGCGGAACAAGTGAGGGGTGCGCCGCAATGGGGCGGGGCCGCTACTGGGGCCTCCGGTGGAGCTCTCAATAGGGGCCACGAAACGCTGCACTG